TTTTCTTTTGTTGCAGCCCAGGATACGGTTGGTTTCTGGGCTCAAGCACACACTGAAGCCGGCTCATGTCAAGCTTCTCATCAACCAACATCCCCAAATCCTTCTCCACGGGGCGCTTGCTCTCACATCCTCACTCAGCCCTGGTGCAAAGCCTCAGGGCCTCCATTTCCTAAACAACCTCAGAACTGGAACCCTTCCCCTCCTTACACCTCAAGGGAACCTCAGCTGGGTCCCACTAGAAACCCCGCAACAGCCCAGTGCCACCCCAATCCCTTCTCTCTCTCCCCCCTGCCTCTCCCCACAGTGACCCCAAACCCAGCACTGACCTGCAGACATGGGATGTCTCCTTCTGAGAAGTTGAAGGTCCCAATCACATCCTCTCCAATCTTATACACGGTCTTGACCCCAAACCCAGCACTGACCTGCAGACATGGGATGTCTCCTTCTGAGAAGTTGAAGGTCCCAATCACATCCTCTCCAATCTTATACACGGTCTTGACCCCAAACCCAGCACTGACCTGCAGACATGGGATGTCTCCTTCTGAGAAGTTGAAGGTCCCAATCACATCCTCTCCAATCTTATACACGGTCTTGACCCCAAACCCAGCACTGACCTGCAGACATGGGATGTCTCCTTCTGAGAAGTTGAAGGTCCCAATCACATCCTCTCCAATCTTATACACGGTCTTAAAGATGCAGAATGTCCCCACCTTGCCACGAGTGTTGCTGATGTTGTACAGGTCTGTGGAGCAAGAAGGAGGCAGGAAGAGAGTTGTGGCAAGACAAGGATCTATTCCATACAGTGCTCTGGGTTAATCACAGAGCCCAGCAGATGTGACCCCTGTCTCCTGTCTGGGTGTGAAGGACAGACCCTGGAGGCAGCATTCCCTTTGAGAAATGCCTGCAGTGGCTGCAATATGCTGGGAAAAGGGTCTCTCTGGCTGAAGTAGGAAGAGCCTGTGACTGGCTGGAAGGAGCCCATAGGAAACTCTGACCCAGGCAGGACCTGATGGAGCTGCTCCACAGCCCCAGCCAGAGCTTTGCTTTGCCAGCAAGAGTGTTTTGCACAAGCCCTGAGCTGTGCTTGATGCCCAGGTTAGGACAGCAGGTTCAAGCAGGGGATATGACCTACGCAGGCTGCGTCGGGAGGTGGCCACCATAAGCAGCTCTGTTGCCAAGTCTGCCAAGCGAGAGTCTTTCTTCAAGCCCTCCTCCGCCTCCAGGAAGGGGTTTGAGGGCGCAACAGCCTCATCCTGTGGGAACTGGTAATCCTTGAGCCCTGGGGAGAAGGAGAGAGTGTTAGAAGGACAGAGCGTAGCCAGACCTGTGCCTGCAGGCAGGGCAGCACATGGCCTCACCGTGCAGCACGAGGACACGGAAGGGTACCCGCAGCAGCTTGATGGGGGAGTTGACTCGCTGGCAACCGATGGTCAGCTTGTACACGTACTTCACTGACTGTCCCCGGAAAGAGGGAGGCCCATCTATGGGCAGCGTCTCACAGTATGAATCTGCAAGGAGCACAGAAAAGATTGAAAGGTTGCTTTCCAAGGCCAAAAGAAAGCTCCTGGAGCTGTTGCTCACAGGCTCCCTGCACTGAGGGTTAGGACCAGCAGTGGTGCTGAGCTATGGACAGTGTCTGGCGCTTTCTGCTATCTCCTCTTTCCCACAGCATGCCAAGAGCTTCCCTGGCTTCCCTGCGCCAGTGCACTGCTCCCCACATCACATGCACCGTCATCCAGACGTTGCTTCCAGCACATACAACCACACAAACCAACTCTTCTGCCTCAAAAGAATGTGAAAGATGTAAAATCCAGGAACTCAAACACATGAGAGCTAAACTTACTCATCACGAGTTCAACCTGAATTTGCCTCTGCGCACTTCCTTCGCACACCGCTTCCACAACGCAGTCACACGCTGCAGCCTCCTCAGGGCTCTGCTCCATGCGGCCCAGAGGTGCTGATCAATACCTCATGCCCCTTTTGATACTGGTTTTGCACAAACCCCAAACTCAGCAACAAAAATTAGCTTCTTCCTGTGTTTTCCTCTGAAGCACCAGCTCTAAACAGCCAAGAAAGAATCAAGAGACCTTCACAACAAGTTGCGGCGTATCCCGCTTGACAGACTGATGACTTGGACCACAAAGCCTCTGTCTCCAAGACCTCTGTGATGCTGGGGCCTGGCTTTGACCACATTCAACCCTCTCGAAGCCCCTTGGCCACCACACAAACCCCAACGCTTCCCGACACAGCATGAGCACTTCTGCAGCCTTCCCAAACCACACTCTGTATAACAAGAAAGGCGCAAACAGTGAACTGTGGAAAGCCTCCACCTCTCTGGCTTGCCCACCATAACACAGATACACCCTGCCAGAGGAAGGACAGCATCCTGCTGTGAAACCACAGATCCTTCCCCACCTCTGGCACATCCTAAACATCGAGTCTTAGATGAAAAGCTAAGGTTACATTTTTAAATAGAACTTCTACATGTAAAATAACAGGACTGGAAGGAAGAAAAAAGCCCATGCTAGCATGTAGCATCCACAGGCTGTCACACCTTAAAACACAGGCCTGCCCCACTGGACCGGGGTGCAGATCAAGCCAAGAACTGTCCTGACAGGGAGGAAAATCAAGATATTTCCAAGGAAGAAAGCAGACTGCTTTTAACCCCCTGTACCAGGCTTAAGAAGAGTGCTCACAAAGACCTTCATGCCCAATGAGGATAATCTGAGCTGAGACCACTGCTGCCGAGGAGGATGGGTGGTTTGTTACCTGGCACAGGAATGC